GTGCGCGTCTCGAGCCGCCAGGTGCGCCCGCTTTTTATCCTTTTGCTTTATTCCTTCTGTTTGCAAGATGCGCCTCGAACTTGTAGGGATTTTATTAATATACGTTGAATTGCTCGTGCAAACTTTGCTTTCACAAAACACAAATTGAAATAAAATGTTTGCGCGTGTAAAAAATGTAAAATAAAGGAAACCCGAAAGTAATAATTTATGTAACACTAACTGAATATCTCTAAAAACACATGTTAAACATAGTTTTAACTCAATACTTTTTTTACCGTAACTAAAAATCTTAAAGCGACTCGGTTTTTGCAAAGGTATTGTAAAGTTATGCAGACAATTAGTACAAAATGTGCAGTAAACAATGGTTTTGTTGTTATAGGAGTTCTATAAATTACATTGACAATGTTATTATTGTTATAACAAACTGCGTTTTAAAAGCGTAAACAATTTTAGCTGTATTAATGTTTTTGTGATAAAAGCTTTATTGTTCGAACGCATAAAATGCAAACTTACCTCTAGTAATATAGTAATTTTGTTGTTAATTTTTAATTAATATATTTATGTTATGGAGTAACAATTACTTTAATTACTCTAATTGTTAATGATACATTTACGATAGATGTTTTTTTCTCAATGGGTCCAAAATTAGTACATGTTACAATAAGAGAAGATGTACACAAGCTTTGTGGAGATGTGGGCAGGTCCGCGAGCAGCTGCTAGTTTTTATGCACTAGTGGAGGGATTCCTTATAAGAACACGGTTTTTGTGCGCAAGCGCAGCTGCTCCCAAGTCCTGTCTTTGATTCTTTGTTGTACATTACTATCTAGTTTAACGGACAACCGACTGGTTTTAGTAGATATCAGAATGTTTCTACTAAGAGACATAACAAGTTTTTTTTTTTAACTTGAATATAAAATAGATTTACAGAAAAATTAGGTGGAGTCAAAAAGACAATCGTCCGCCTTTGCATAGCTAAAAAGTGTGCAATAAATATAAAATAGCAAGAAACAGGAAAAATAAAATATTAATACAACACTATTTATTGACAAAAAAAAATACAAAATTAAAAAAAAAAGTTCTTGGCCAAAAGGAGAGGGCTCAGTTGATGCGGCCTCAAGCTTGTCACTGAAAGCGGCAATTGTTTTCAACGTTTCCTTAACTACTAAGTACATTGTTCAGTTTATAATAAAGGAAAAGGATATTCCTTGTCTCTTGTTTATGTACTCAAATACGTAATACAATTAGCTTTGTTAAATGCGGCAGATATCCTTTTTAAGTCAATAGATTTTTTGTTATTGGCACAGACAGCTGGGCAGCGTAGCCACCCGCACACCTTACCGGGACTTCGTTAGGGTTACCAACTTGAAACCACCTCTGCGGATATTACTCGATCTGTTCTGTTATTTAAACTAATAAGTCAGGGATGGAAAAATGTAGTAACTAGTGGAATGGATATATGAGTACAAATGAGAAAAAAAAATCGTTTCGTTTCTTGGGAGCGTTATACGAGAATTACGGTGGTAACTTTTTTTTACCACTCAAATGTATAATATTGTTAAATAATCATAGTATAAAGTAATAGTAGTGGGATTTATCAAAAATCGGAGCATAACGGTCTTGAAATTTTTCTGTTTTATTTTGAACCTGTCCTCAGTGTACTGACTTTATGGTCACCGTACAACTTGCGGGTCCGACATCATCTCGCACAGGTACCGCTCTTTTGTTCACATTAATTAGCTGTCGCTGATTTGTGTCCCCTCCCCCTCCCCCTGTCGGTGCCCGCCCGCCAGATGTCGCCCTCGCATAGCTTCACACATCACACATCGCATTGCGCTGCTATTTACAACAACTAAAAGATTTATTATTTCAGCTAACATTGTCAAAAAAGACAATCGCTCATGCATACATCTGAGATGACTGGTGGATGTTATAACAAAAACACATGTAAACATTTTACATATATGTAATAATATCAATGTTTTATTTGCAAAAGATCGACGTTTACGATAAAATTGTAGATAACAAATAAATTGAGTGCATTTCTATCGATTTGAAATACATACATAATTATTTAATATAAATATTGATTGATTTATGTTTGTAAATGAAAATATTAAGATCTCGTATATAATTTCCATATTATCTATATGTTTGGTTTATGTAATGCGTTGCGGGGTGCGGGCGCAGGTCCGCGGCAGCTGCGCCGGCGGAATGCGCAC